AATCCAGATTGGCCATACAGATTTCTGGCAGTGCAGAATTGAGGCGAGAGGCCATGGAGGCCTACGATGCGCTAGTGTATGCATCAGGTTCCACTCTAGCGAAGGAAGCACTGTTTACCACCTGGGTCAACATCTGCAGAGCCAAAGGGGAGGAGCCACTTCCTTTGACGCCGAACCAGATTTCAGAGAATGCCGCTATCTTGCGCAGCGCAGGATACAGAGCCGTGAAGAGCTATGTCTACGAGGCCAAAGACAGGCGCTCCAGGGCTGGCTATGTGTGGTCGTCGGCCTTGCAGATCGCCCTGCAAGACGCTAAGCGTGTGGCGCAGCGGGCTATTGGCCAAGTGGATAGAGCGGGGGAAGTCAAGTTGGGGCTAGGCCGGGTCCCACATCAGAATGAAGCTGCGGATGGAGCGCCCAATGCAGGGATTCTGACTTGGATCATTGGCGCTAAGTATTTGCTACGGGAGGTTGAGCTGGCTTCTCTTACCTCCAACAAGAAGTGTGTGCAATTGGACACCTTGTCAAAGGTGGCTACCTTGAGGTTGCCGGTCAGCAAGACTGATGTGGCTGGTCGAGGCGCGGCGCGTGCTTTAGGCTGTAGCTGCAAGTCAGGCTTTGATATTTGCGGCCCTTTTCATGCTCTGGCCGAAGTGGTTCGCGAGCAATGCATAAGGCTCGGCATACAAAGCAGAAGCCCTGAAGCTCAAGAGTGAAGTCGAACTGTCAGAAGCGCTTGCTGGCACTTTGAGACGAGTGGACTGCCTGGAGGAAGCGGTCAAGGCGCAAGCGGAGTTGGTGCAGACTTCGTTGCGTCATGACGGATTTGACTTTGACAGCGAGGAAGTGAAGAGTGAGACCAGGAAGGAAGCTCGAAGAGCGCTACTTCCGTCGTTTGTCATCAATTTAAGTTCCGGTGCTGTCCATCGACCATGCCACTCCTTTTTCCATCGTGGAAGACCCGAAGAAGTGGACGACCAAGTGCGGGTGGCCATGGGTCTTGGGTGACGTGCCATGTAAATTTGTGTATGAAGGGGATGACCTCAACCCTACCACCCGTAAATGCCTGAGTGACCCTTGGGTTTCAAATAATAGGTCCCCTGCACTTTCTTTCTGCTGAGAATTTTAATGACTCCACCAACTTCGGGACAAAAGAGATTTAGGTTCTCTTTGCGCGGTAGGGTGGGGGAACCTTGACACTTGCGATGTTTTGTGAAACCGCAACGTGGTGCAGTGAAATAGCTGTGTCAATTGGTGGTTGTGGTTTATACTTCGTCCTTGTACCATTTTGGCTCAAGGATGAAGGCGCCGGTTCCGTTTGGTCATTTGAAGCCCACCCAGCCCACCCTGGTTTGTTGCCAGGAGCTGGTTCATATTTGTCACTTGGTAGGTGACAGATTTGAGGCAGGGGTGTTCGCTTGGTTGGTGACCCTTGGGTTTCAAATAAATAGGTCCCCTGCACTTCCTTTCTGCTGAGAATTTTAATGACTCCACCAACTTCGGGACAAAAGAGATTTAGGTTCCCTTTGGGCGGTAGGGTGGGGGAACCTTGACACTTGCGATGTTTCCTGTCAGGATTGGTGGAAAGAAGAGTATATTATTGTATCGTTAAGGAGACAGTAAAGTGTATTGTTGCAATATAGTTGAGAAGGATGGTTGTCAAGTTATTTTGTGGGCGATTGCAACCTGGTAGGTAGTTGGGAGTTGAAAGGGAATGCTATTGTAAACAGTGGCTTATAAGTGACATTTCTTAGCGTTTAAAGGGTTTTAAAGAGGCATGCTTTGCAACGACTTTGCTGGATTCTTTTTCAAGAGTTCTCCTAAAGAAATTGAGATATATAGTGATGCATTTTCACATGCTTGTCCGTGACCATGCGTGGTGTAGACAGAACTTTCTGATGCATTTTGACCTTGACATATGTCTTTTATGCCTATTGCTGTGCTTTGTTTGCCCTGCAACGAGAGCAGTATGGTTAACTTGCTCATATTGATCGTCGTGCCACGCCGTTCCAAAACAGAGAAAGCCAGTCCAAGGTAATGAAGACAATTTTCAAATTGGGAAACATCTTGAAAAGTGATGCATGCACTGCCATCAGCGCATCCACTCCAAAGTGGTATATTCTGCTAGCTGCCCGAAATGAGCGCAATGAAACACCTGCAGAGAAAGGGGCTCCTCTGCAACTCTGACGAATTCCCTTGTGGGTGGGCAGAAGCATGCATGATGTGCCAGTATGCCAGCTCATGAGGAGGTCGCCAAGTGGTGATGGCAAGTCAAGTAACAGGAAGGCTTCCAAAAGTGATTTGCCTGGCATTGCATCAACAGCTCCAGAATGATGCAATGGGCGAGTGAGGCTTGAGCATCCTCGGCCCTTATTGTTAATATTTAATATTACTTTCCATATGCCCATCGATGCACGACGAAAGCGTGGACCTGTGCTTGTGGGTCCGCCTGGTGTATAGGGCCGGTGCCACTTTCTAGTCAAATCTCGAGTCCAGCAACCTAGCCAGTGTTGTTTTCCTGGTGGCAAGTGGCGCGGCGCAGACAGGGACACGTGTGGTCCTGGGCTTGTGGTACGGCTTATCAGGCACACCATCGAGTAGGGTGAGCCAGCTGTTCTGATGCCCTCCAATGCTCATGATGTGCAATCTCAAGGTGATGATCAAGATCACCTGGCCAAGCCCCACAGCTGATGCATTTCTTCACCAGCCTCTGCCAAAGACCAGGCTGATCCACCAGGATCGAGTATCCAGCGGGTCAATGGCCGGCAGCCATACATGTTGCCAAGCATCTTGGACCATTGTCTCCTCAACATCCGGGCCCGTGGGCCCGTGGATGGGCCCGTGCCGGAAGTTCCAAAGGACGATGAAAGCATAGCTGTGACGGTGATGGTGGTGGCGAAACAGTACATGTTTTGCAGGATGACGCTGCAGATGATGGCCATGAAAGGGGGCATGAGGACGGCGCTTTTGATGAGGATTAGGATGAGGATGAGGATGAGGATCTTAATATGTTAATGTTATCCTCTAACACATGTATGACCGTCATACTTTGTAACCCCGAACCAGGATGTTCATCGGTACTCTTTCTCGGTCATGAATAGAACAATACATGAACCGTCATGCACCAACTTATATTCTGTGAAAATTTTAAGATAGATTTGTGTTTCGTGTATTTCGTGAAGGGTGACCTATCCTTGTATACATACATCTTATTCTATTTCATGCTTTCTTCTCTTCCCTGATCCTAATTGATCTAACTTTATATCTGTCTATCTCCTGTCATGTTCCTGGTTGAAGTTTTTTAGAAGATGTTTCTTGCACGGAAGCTTGGTATCCAAAATGTCGTGGGAATGTGCGTTCGGTGAGTTGAGCTCGTGTGTCCTATCTATCCTGTTTGTCCTAGCTGTCCTGTTTACCTAATCTATCTAATATTTGCAATCGGTCCAGCCTATCGCCTCTACCTGATCTATCTTTCCCTCATCTTGTCGATCGAATCAATCTATATATCTACTCGAGCTACTCGATCGAATCCATCTATAAATCTGTTCCTATCTACCGATCCACGTATCTTGTCCTTCCGTATCTCACCTGACCTTTTCTAGTCTGTTCACTTCATGAGTGTCCAATCTTTCTCCTCCTTCCAATGTACCTAGTCTATCTTCTCGATCTATTCTGTCTACCCGATCGAGTCCATCTCCCGATCGACCTCTCAACGTACCTTTCCTTACCTTATCTTACCTCATCTCATCGTATTTTATCTTACCTTAACTTATCTGATATTTTCTAGCTCTTTCTTGTTTTATCTCGTCCTAGCTTGCTTTGTCTTTTCTTAGATGTTCTTTTCTTCTCGTATCTAATCAATCCAACTTGATCTTATATATCTCTTGTGTCTCTCCATTTTCCTGTCCCTGGAGCTCGTGCGCGGCAACCCGTGGGCCGTTGGGCCCGTGGGCCCGTGGATGTTGAGCGGACGCTTCTCGCATCTTGAGCGGCCGGGTCATGAATGACATTCTGAAGCTTGGCCTGGGGACATTTTGCCTTCGTTTGATGCCCGCACATATGTCTTTCACATCTAAATTTAATGCGTTTACCTTTTGGTTTTGTATTCCTGTGCAAATCCCTAACAAAGACAACGACAGCTGCCCGACCACGACCGCGACCGCGACCACGACCACTACCACCACAATTACAACTACCACTACCACTACCACTACTACTACTACGACGACTACTACTACTACTACTGCTACTGCTACTGCCACTGCCACTGCCACTGCCACTACCACCACCACCACCACCAACGTGCCACCAACTACTACTACTACTACTACTACCACCTACTACTACTACTACTATTACTACTACTACCACCACCACCACCACTACTACTACTACTGCCACTGCCACTGCCACTGCCACTGCCACCACCACCACCACCAACTACTACTACTACTACTACCACTACTAGTACTACTACTACTACTATTACTACTACTACTACTACCACCACTACTACTACTACTACTTACTATTTACTACTTACTACTTACTACTTACTACTTACTACTTACTACTTACTACTACTACCACTACGACGACGACTACTACTACGGTACTATTACGGCTAGTACTACTACTGCTACTACTACTACTACTAACTACCTTACTACTACTACTACTACTACTAGTACTACTACTACTACTACTACTGACTACTGACTACTGACTACTGACTACTGACTACTAACTACTACTAACTACTACTAACTACTACTAACTACTACTACCACTACGGCGACTACGACGACGACTGCTATACTACCACTACGACGACTACGACGACGACGACTACTACTACTACTCTTCCTCAGCCCGCACGGTGCTGCTGCCGCTGCTGTTGCCGCAGTTGTGATTGTTGCTTATTGCAGTCACTCGTTTCCGTGGCGCAGTTTTGACACCTTGTTACTGTTGACCTTTTCTGTGATGCAGTCGCTTTGCAGGCAACAATGTGAAGGAGCCGGAGTGGGTTCGAACGATGTTGGACACATGTCCGAAACTGCGAGCGTACATCAGCAAACATCAAGAGAACTTGTGCCAAACCCGCAATTTCATGCGAGGTGTTGCAAATGGCCTTATCCAAACCAGTGTTGTTATCATCGCCCATGCTTCGCTCTTGCACACGGAGGTCAAGCAACTACAGTCTAATCTGGATGCGTTGCAACCAGCCATACAAGACCTTGATGCAGACCTCAAGAATGCACACCATGCACTTGAAGTTGCCAAGAACAATGCGCAATATTCCACGGCTGTCCAGGATCTCCTGAAGGCTGTACATTCAGTATGCGCGAGAGCAGCCGTGATCCTCGAAAGGCTCGACAGCATCATTCAGGAGGTTGACAGCAGTGAGAAGGAGGCAAAACAAGGAAACTTGAACTCAGCTTTCCTGCTTTTCAGTGGCTGTGCGGCTGTCATCGGCGCGTCAATAGCCGCCATAGGACTCGGAGCAGCTACAACAGTGCTGGCGGAAGAGGTTACACTGCTTAGAATTGCTGGAGTGACAGGATGTGTGAGTGGATGTGTTGGCATCGCCATCACCGATGAGACAATAAAATTGTGCAAACAAGTGAGGAGTAGCGCACAGGTCCGCCACGACAATATCAAGGAAATGCGCAAGGACCTCACAAGTGGGCTTGCCCAGTACTACCTGGATAAACCTGAAGCATATTGTGCAGCTGTCTGCGATCATGATACCTCCAAAAGCCCGATCAAGCGGGAGAGGGGAAACCCGATCAAGGAAGAGGTTGACGACTTGCTGAATGGGCTACTGCTTGAGCGTCCTGATAAAGCTATTGACTTTATAGCCAACTTCCCCAAAAAGGCCGAGCTTGTGAAACATAGTGACCTTGTGGACCGCGAGCTGATTGTTACCATTCTAAAGCATTGGCGGGTTGAGGAGGGAAAGCCTTTGGCTTGGCAAGTGGAAAGACTGCTGAAACTCGAACAATGTGGTTGCCTCTTGCAACGTGTTCTCGACTGGGAAGCACAGCTGGCGAGAGATGTTCTTGGAGACAAGGTCGGCAAATACGACAAGCAGACATTCCGTAAGCTTGTCACAAAATTCCACCCTGACCGATACGAAGGAGAGGAACTCATGAAGGCCTTGAACCACATGCGAGACACGTTCTCGGAGCAGAAACCAGCCAGAAACCTGTTTCAAGATCAACCCCTACAAGGTAAGGGCTGGGCCAGATCGCCTTGCAACTCTGAATCCATCAACTCGTTTTGGAAGGAGATGCAGAACGCTCAGAATGTCTCTGAGCAACCAAATGACCGCCAGAGATCACCTCCAAACGTGGAGTGCTGCCGAATTGTTTTTGGTGGCCCTCGCAAGGATGTGTTGTTGGCGAACCTTCTGCTGGTCAAGGCCTCTCGAGATGTCTTGGAAAAATCCAGTGCTTACTTGGAGGAGATCATTGCCGCCAATGAGGATGATGATGTGGCTTCCAAGCTCTACAAATACATAGAGCTGCAAAAACTGGAGCATGAACTTCCCGAAAGAGTGGAGACATTCAAGAAATGGCTCCAGGACACATCGCGCCTGGAAGATTTTGCACGCTTTACTTTTGCCACGTAAATTCCAGTGCGCACACGGAGTGGTTATGCCTAATGGCCTTCATGGTTTGCATCGCTGAAATGCGGCCTGAAACCATCTGATAGTATCAGGGATCTGGAAAAAAAGGATGAACAGGTTCGTTTTTGATTGCTATTGCGCTCAAAGATTTGTGCAGAAATGGCCAAACACCTGTAAATTTTGGGGTTTTCTTGCCTGAGCATCAATGTCGAGGGCCTTCAGTTTCCACTCGGTCAACGGCAAATGCCTCTGCAGGCCTCCTAGTCTTGGAGATGCATGCTCCCTGGGCCGGCTTCGTGTGTGTGTGAGCTCCTTAGACTGGATTCACTCTTGGCACCTTGTGAAGACTTCGCTTTTTTGCACAAGTCAAGGTGTTCTGAAACATGGAACAACAGTTGCATGTGGGATTTGATGGTGCAAAAAACCTTCCCTGATGATCGTGCTGCCCAGTGTGGTGCTGCCAGCGCTCACCTGGCTCCTCATGAGGCCGGAAGTCGTTGGGACCCAGCTCCGGTCTTTTGGGGCCCACGACCGTCACGAAGCTGTGGGGCCCCACGAAAAGTTGGGACCCTGAATTGGAAAGGAGATTGGAGCGGGGGTTCAGGTGGCCTCGCTCGCAACACAAAGATCCAGTGAAGTGCGACTCACACCTCCAGCTGCTTCTTTCGGCAGAGGCTGGATTTGTACTTTGCAAGTACTCTGCGGGTCATCGGAGCCCTGGTGCTCATGTTGGGTCCGAGGCTCAAAACGTTGAGTGATGGTCCACCGTCCAAGAGATGTTCCGATCAAGAACGAAACCAAAATTGGACCCAAACATGTCAACTCTCCTGGACACTATACATCAGGGACAAGCTCAGACCTATATCCTTGCTGGTCCAAGTAAAGCAGCGAGTACTGTGTATGACCAGGCCCAGTGAAATAAGGTCCATAAGAATCCATAAGACCTCCTGAGTGTCACATGATGCCCTTCCTCCATCTTCCTCCTCGCAGACGGCGTGATTTGAGGTCCTGCCTTAGCACTAATAGCCGTTGAGACCTCAGAGCTGGACCGTTCAGGCTTGATTGCTGCACTTGATATCCATTCAAACCGATTCAAACCTGCAAAACCCCTCTCAAACTCCAGAGGAGCCTAGCTGCCCAGACGACACCAAGATTGTTGAAGCAAAGGACTGCAGAAACATCAACAATTGGATTCCCATGGATTCCCTATCTCGACACCCTTAAGTTCCCCCTGCCCAGCATGGGGATATAGGGATGCACTTGGATCCAATAGGTGCCATACGCAACCATTTCAAAAGCCGCGAACAAAATAATGTGCCAGCGCCGAGCTGCCACCAGCGCCGGCCGCGCCACGAGAGTCGTTCGCACAAAAATTCGCTCCTTCGAGGCGACGTTGAGCTCCATGAGCGAACCCAAGTGGGGATGGATCTTCGCGCGCTGCTGAGAAAATACTGCAGTTTTGCGGTGCAAAGAACCAGCGGTACTGAACACATGTCGAGCCAAGAACTGCAAGAGTTGTGCAACACCCAGATGCCCATGCTTCCGAAGAACTGCTAAGAGTCAGAGTCAGATACAAGGTCCTGGTGGCGATCACCTTCACCATGCATGCCTTGCTCATCGACTGCCTGGCTCATTGCCATCATGCTGAACACCGAACTCGGTGGCGTTGTTGTTGGCCGCCAGGTGTCGGTTGCCTATGTCGCACGAGCTGAAACCGCGGAGGACTTAGCCACGAGCGCTTTAACGACGGTTTGGTGGGGCGCATCCATTGAATTCCACTGCAGATCACTGCAGTGACTCTTGTTTAATTTTCAAGCCCTCAGTAAGGCCTCCTTCTAAAGACAGATATTAAGGCGATGTTTCAATCCACATGGGGAGGGTTTCATATCTTGATCAATAAAAAACCTCCGTGTAAAGACATATTAAGACGATGTTTCGATCCAGATATGGAGGGTTTCATTCGTCAGGAGTCTACATTAGTCACTGCCAACATTCCATCCAACGGACCCATTTTTGGCGGTGAGCTGAACCGCGGCGCCTCCGTGAGCCTTTCAGGTCACGGAACGCGGCGCCGCCTTGCCGACGCGCTTTCGAAACGTCCTTTATTTGGACGTGTTCGGATGGCCAGGGAGCTGAGCCCCTGTGTTTGAGCGTTCTTGTGCTTTAGTGAACTTTAGTGCAGCTCATCCTCCGGAATTTGAGGTCTCAAGGTTATTTTTCCCTCTGGTGTGAGCTGGGTGATCAGTGGGCGTTTATTCATTGTGGGCGTTGTTCATCACGAGAATGCGATTGAAATCCTTCGGGTCGATCAGTCGATCTAGAGGTGGACCGCCCGATCCATCGACTTCACTCGTGAGTGCGAATGGACCACAAGGGATTTCAAGGTGGTGGAAGTTCAAAGGCTCAAGGACTTTCTTCAGAGGTCCTTTCATGAACAAGACAAGTGCTTAAATAGTTCTGATGAACAAACACGGATGCGCCCCCTTCTGAGGTTGCAAAGCCCCGAACAGGAGCAGGGATCCGCGGCACCCGCGGCCACGTCGCAAAGGAGCAATGCCGGGGGCCCGAAAAGAAGATTCTCCTTCAGAGCTTCTGAGAGAAGAAAGAAGAGAATCTCTTCTGACTGCAAGAAAAAACAAACTAGCTAGCTAGCTAGCTAACTAACTAACCCACTCACTAACCAACTAACCAGCTAACTATATATAAACCTAACTAAACCAAACTAACTAAACTTAACTAACTAAACTTAACTATATAACTAAACTTAACTAACTAAACTTAACCAACTAAACTTATAGCTCAGTCTGTGGGCACGGTAGAGTGCCATAGTTGTGACCGACTGAAGCACTCGCAGCGGCTCACCTTTAACTCGAACACCAACGAGTGTCCCTGGAGGCAAGAGAGATGCCACAAATGTTGCGAGAGGCTGGCCATCAGTCTGCCCATATGTCTAATTGATTGAACACTTACCAATGCAACGCATCGGCAAATCCATCAGAGTCTTTTTCCGGAATGCTAGTGATTCGTTACATGGCTTGGATGAGCCCCAAAAGCACCACCATGCATGCGGGACAAGGGAAAACGGACCAAACTGATCCATTAACAATGGCTCCGACTTCACTTCTTACTGCGCTGCCTTGACTTCGTGCTGCAGGCGCTTTATAAGGAGAGCTGCCGTTTGGGCAATCAACTGAGTCGCGAATTCTCCACTTGGGAGGCGGGTCGGCGCGTGGACGAAACGAAGTCGTTCTGCCATTTGGACTCTCAAGACTAAGGCCTTTAGGGAGGGGAGGTACCTGCCAGCAGTCACGTTCGACGGGGTTCGATCCATGGAGGTAGTCCGGGTGCCCCTGTCACATCCACTCACTGAATGGGACTAAACACCACCCCGTCTTGTGACTCCTGGTGGATGTTTTTTTCGTTCTCTTTTGCTGCCGTGTGATCTGCAGATTGCGGACTTGGATCATGTCCCTTCACTCCTCAGGCTGGGATGCCAAGTCGAAGCTCCACAGTGTCGCCGTGTCACGGACGACCACCCTTTGTCAATGCCCACCATCCAAGCTCGAAGTATCGACTCTCTCCTTTTCGAGGAGGTCTCTTGAAACACCATCCAAAACGCTTCCGGAAAAAACAAGAACACCACCGTGAAACTCCCCCCCCGTCGACTGCTTGCGTGCCCTCGAAACCCAGTCAGGCAACTACGAGCGCTGCAGCGCGAGTTTGCCAGCGTCCGGAAAGACTTTGCCCACGTCCACGAGGTTCCGAGCGTGAGGGCCGCCGCGGACGCCACGCGTGAGTTTCACCCGCCGCGGTTCACGCGACGCAGAGCGACGCTCCGACGAGGCCAATCTCAGCAGAGATCGAATCAGCGCCAATGAGGCAGGGCGCGTCACAGCGCTGTGACGCGGAAGAAGAACGCGGGTTCGGTGGAATCGCGCGTGATGAAATTGAACATGTTTCATTTGAATATATCGACGTCCACAATTATGCATAAACTATGAATAAACATGATATTTTTTTTAGTTATTGTTATTTCGCTTGTCTTGGTTTTCATCTCTGGAGGATTCTTCCAACTTCTACCAAAAACCAGCAAAAGATCAAATGAATCGGACTCCCTCCGCTTCGGTCCCGAACCACCTTCGTTCCCGCGACATTCGGTCCCGCAGGACATCTCATGGGCACAGCCGGAGTCTCCCTCCGCCTCGCTCGTGGAGGAGGACCGGATCGAGGATCGTCGGTCGGCGACGGCCCCCCGTGGCCGACGGCCAGGAGAACCTGCAAATCTGGCTCCGTGTGGAGTGCGGGCGCCGAGGGAGAGCGAGCGAGCTTACAGTTGTATAGAAGCTTGAGTTCATAAAACCACCCCAGGGCCTGAAGAGGTCGCTACAATCCAAATGCGTTCTTTGTTTTATAATCAAGATATTACAACCACTTCCTCGAAGTGATGATCTCAGAATGAGACCTGCAGGAGTCAAAGTGAGCGCGTTACATGGCTCCGGGGCCCAGGAGACGAAATTGAGGACCTGAACACATCCTGAGAAGCAGTCACTCTCTCTGAATGTGTAGTGTGAATTGGGATGGACATTCAATGGACATCCATCCCAGAGTCTTTCTTTGCTCAAATGGAGAAGCTCCAGCTTGTTTGGTTGCACGACCTCCCAAACAATCACCAAGGCCAACAGTGGTTTCTTCTATACCCGCATGCATGCGTTATTCATCGCGAGATCATCTAGCTTTGCACCTGGATTCCGTGACTTTTTCACCTGCAGTGCTTCTTCTGTCGACCGTGTCCACTGGCCTGCCTCCCCCGCGGCCTCCCCGGCCGGCGCCCGCCCGCGTCCGGTTCGGGGTGACCCGACGGGCGACCCGCCGCCTGGCGCCGCCCGGCGGCCGAGGTTTCTGCAGCCACTGGCGGGTGTGATCCGCCTGGAGGAGCCCCACTGTGAAGCTGGGGCAGCTGGGCACTCCCAGCGATCTGGACTGACGGAGCGGGGCACGTGTGTGCTGTGTGCTGTGATTCTGTGAGCGATTGGCTTCTAGGAGCTGCTGTGACCCCTTTTTTGGTTCCACAGACCTTGGGGTGGA